ACCCTGTTCCCTGAAACCCAGCAGGAGCCAAACTCCTGATGTTCATAACTTGTGAATTATGTTGGTTCTCAAGCCCTCCCGGGGGAGCGCAAGCCTTCAAGCACCCCTAAAACCCTTCGAGCTAGGGCGAAGCAGAGCTGGCATAGAGGACAAGGAGCTCATTGCATCCTCCAAGGAAGAGTCTGGCCACAGCTGCATCTCTACCAAAGAGAGCCGCAAGTTGGATTTCCCACTCGTGGCTGCTGGTCACGCTGGTTTGGACTGGGCACGGTGCTGAGTTTGCCGCCTGCTGTGATTTTAGCATCGCATCCTGCTTGGCTGGTTTGAGCCCTGTGCCGGACAAGGAACACACCTTAATCCCCACGGGGTCAAGCTGGTATAGTCTGTAATCTGGAGGGAGGTGGAGGATGGTGGTTTTCAGCTCCCAGCAAATGTGAGGGCTTCAGCAGAGGGTTTGAGAGCACATGCTTCTCCAAACCCACCCAGGATCACGCCTATCCAGAAAGGATGGAGACATGGTGCCGAAAACTCATCTTCATTTTGGGTTTGGGGTTTTTTTCGGCAAGTTTAGTCACGGCACATTTTGAGCCGCCACGGTCACTGCGGATGCTCGCTCAAGCCCAAAGCACCTCGTCTTCATTGGGTGGTACCTACACTCACCTCTTCTTCCTCCTCCACCTGCTATTAGCACCGACATGCCCATGCACAGGGAGAATGACAATTTTAAGTCATCTGGCCCATTCAGAGCTGAGTGTTTCTTCCTAATAACACCTTGTCCTGAGAAGTTGCTATTAAGATCCCTGGTACACAACGGATGGGATCCCGCCTCTCCACCAAATTGAGTGAGCTTGGCCAGCCTTGTGTTTTGGGGCTCACTTCATCTTTTTCACCAATTTCAGCCTGTTTCTAGCCATGATGGAGCGAGACCCGACCCCCCAGTGCTCCCCCAAGAACCTCACTAATCACCCAGACTCCCTTGGGTCGTTTCTTCTCATCCATCCTGCACCGCCACTCCGTCAAAGAAAGTTTGATAATCTCCCTAAACTGAGAATTACATCTTGTCTGTTACTGTGCGTGCGTAATTGCAGGCAAGAACTTTTAAGAGCCATGTCAGCCTAATTACTTGCAATAGGGCAAGGCATCAAACCAGTTATCAAGTCCCGCTCGGGTTTGCACGAGAGTTTATTTTGTTTAGGTGCGCAGCTGTAACAGCACAGCAGGAGCATCCCAGGCAGGCAGCAAGGCTCCTCCTGGGGACCTGCCTTCCTCATCCCGCTTGGAAGCCAGGGAAGAAGGGTCAGAGGCTGGTTTGGACCAGTAAAAGATGCTTTTAAAGCCAGTAAAACCCAAGAGAGGTCAGTCCCCATCCTGGTAAAACATCCGTGGCCAGCACTCGTCAGAGCTGGCTTTGCAACCACCTTCTCCTGGGTGAGAAGGCACCAAAAATCCCTCTCCATCCTTTCTTCTCCCCAAAATAAAGGCATCTGCCTGCTGGGAGACTTCATTCCTGCCAATCCAAGAGCAAAGCACCCCATAAAACTGCTTTTTCCCCCAGGGCTGGAGCCATGCACGCACCCCACGCTCACTCTGCCCACATTCTCCCCCAGCTTTGCATTAGATTTACTGCCCTATAAATATCTCCCTTGCTGGGGCGTGCTGGATGCCTCCCCCAGGCAGAGCAATAAAGCCACGGGTGGGCTCAGCTTTGCCCAAGCTCCTTCATCCTTGCCGGTGGCTTGGTTTCACCTCCTCGAAGCTGCCTGCCTCTTCCAAAATAAAGCCAGCGCGGGCAGGAACGGGCAGCGCCTCGTGGCCCGATTGGGACGGGCACCTGTTTGCACCTCCTAAACGCGAAAGGTCAACTTGAAAAGACTCCGTGGGGGGAACATTTCCCTCCTACTCTTTGCAATAAGGCACGTGCCTGCAGGAAGAGAGCCGCAAAACCAGCCCAAAACCCCTCACCAAGCACCCACGGAGCTTAAAACCCCCTTGTGCTCACCGGCTTGGTCGTCCTCAGGGAAGAGACGCTGGGCAATGCGCACGTGAAAACCCTCGGCTCGCCGGGGTTGTTTGCAAGCTCCAGCGCTGGATCTGTTCCCAGGTCCTCGAAATTAGGGCAGGCAGAGATCCATCAGTGGCGGGGAAGTTTATGCAGAGCAGCTCCTAATCTGGCAGATCTGATTTTAAAAAACAACACAGAGAACTCCTCTGACCAGATTGTCTATAGCCACGAAACCACGAGCCTCCAGACATCCACATGTGTGTGTATATATATATATCAATATATACGTCCTGTGATGGTTTACCGTGCCTGATCTTCCACCTGATAGCGCAGATCAGAACCTGCATCACAAATAGCACTTCTGCTTCCTGAAAAATCCCATTCTTGCAGCATAAACCGAGGTTTATTTAGCAGCTCACGGGGGGGGGAGTCGCCCAGGCTTTCGCTGCGATGGGGACAGGCAGGTCCTCACGCTTGTCCCCAGCCACCTCTCCGCAGCATGATTGCCCCTCTCCTTCCTCCCCAAATGAGACATTGCAACAGCTGGGTGCTTTGCCAAGGCCTCTGCGAGAAGGATTTAGTATTTTTCTCACTGCCAGCATAGCTGCAGCGGCTCCATGAAGACCTCCAGAGGCTTGCAAAGGCCCCAAGAAGCTTTGAAAGACTCCTAAGGCTTGCAAAGAACTCGGAAAACTTACAAAGACCCTGCATGGCTTGCAAAGAAGCCCAAAGGTTTGCAAAGCCTCCAGGAAGTTTGCAGAGACGCCAGAAGTCTTGCAAAGACTCTGAGAAGCTTTGAGAGACCCCAGAAGGCTTGCATACACCAGACCCAGTTTCCAAAAACCCCAGAAAGCTTGCAAAGACCCCATCCTCCTTCCACAGCAACCCCTCAAAGACAGGGACCTGTGCAGTGGTGGGGAAATGGGCTCTGCCAGCCCCTTGGGCAGCCAGGGCCACCCAAAAAAAACCAAGGCCACCCAAAAATCCCCAGAGCCACCAGGGTTTCAATCCCATATTTGCTAGCGGGTAACACTTGCTCCTAAGGGTCCACAGGTTTCCTTCTGCCTGGCAAGTGCCAGGGGCTTTTATCCATACCAGCACCACCACACCAGCTGGACCATAGGGGATATAAATACATTTATATTTATATATAGATGTACAAAACAAACCCTGTGACCAGCTAGAAACGCTCTGGCTGATTTTAAAAATCACAAGGGATGTGGTGACCTTGGGGTCTTTCTCTAAGACAGGAGAGATTTGGCGTTGGGGTTGGTCTTGGTTTTTTGGGGTTTTTTGGAAGAAAAGGGGGATTTAAATAGCATGTGTTTTCCTTACTGATAACTGAAGTACTAAATGCTCGGGCACAGGAACTGGGAAGTGAAAAATGGTAAAAGGGAAGCTGGTTTTTGCTCATTTTCTTCCAAACGGACAGGTTTACACCTCTATTTCCCCAGCCCGCGGTTCCCAGGAGAGCGAAGGGAGGTGAGGCCACCCCAGGCCACACGATGCCAGCTGCTGGCTCTGCTTTGGGGTAAAAAGAGGGCAAAGAAGTCCTGTACAGTGCCGGAGAACAGAGCCCGCTTGTGCAGACATGATGCGGTTTGGGTTTCTTTTTTTTTTTTTCTTCTCTTTTTAAATTATTTCTCTTTCTGGTTCCTCTTTCACCAGTGGTTCTTACTACTGGTGGCTTAAATAGACAAGGGTTAAACAGATAAATGCTTCTCACAGAAGGAGCATTTTCCAGCTGCCAGCAGGTCAGCTCCCAGGTCGGGGTGTCTAAACCAGGGGTCCTTTAACCCAGACCCCTGGCACGTTTTGCACAGCAGCGGTGCCGCCCTGATCACGATGCTCTACGAAAGGCACAGTCTGGGAGCAAAGTGGTTTATATTTTCCTATATTCCTCGGGAAGAACATCTACGGCCTTTAATAAAATCTCCCCGTTGCCACAAATCTCATCTTTGCGTGTGCAGAAAAGCAGCAGAACTGCCTTTTTTTTGTGTTGTGTGTGTTCCCAAGCGTTTGCTCAGCAACACAAAGTCCTCGCTCACGTTTGCTCAGGTGATGGCAAAAAAAAAACCCAAACAAACCAGGATCTACTTCAGATGGGAAACTAGATTTGAGCTTATTTCCTACACCCCAGCCACGGAGGGAAGAGAGCACTAAAAAAGAAAAGCCCAAAAGGGATATAAACAGGGAACATCAACCTGAGCGTTTCTGCTCCTCACTAATTGCTTGTGGCTTCCAAAATCTGGGGCAGAAGTTTGGTTTTTAAAATGAATATTTAGCTTGATGTTAATAAATAATGCAAACGCCTGCGTGGGCAGCAATTACTCCTGACGCGCTCCGCTGCGGTGCGGCAAGCGACGCGTTCGCCGTACAAAACCACCTCCGATTTCCCCTCGTTGGCAACTCACTCCCCAACTTCTCTTCGAAAATAAGCAGAGAAAAAAAAAGGAAAAGGAGTGTCCTGCTCTAGCCTAAGGGCTGGGAAATCGTATTTCTTCCTCCCAAGAGCAGCCAGAGCTTTTCCCTAGAGAGCAAAAAAGAGCGGATACCCCACAGATGCAAACGGCAGCCAAAAGCCAAAGCGCTGCCCGTCCCCATTTGGGGTCGGGGCGATGCTGGAGGGACAGGGAGTTGGGGACAGCTGGGGGAGCTCCTTGCATAGGGCTGGGAGCCGGCCGGGCTTCGGGCCAGCCGCCCTCCCTCTCCATCCCTGCCCTCCCCGCGGAGATCATTTTCATGGAGCTTTAGAGGGTCCAATCCAACTGCCCCTTCCCTTTGGACTGGGGTGGGGGCTGCAAATTTGTCATCCCAAACTTTGCAAGCTCCAAAAGAGGATTGATTTGCTCCGGGGGCCAGTCGAGGAGGAGGAGGGCGGTGTGCTGGAGAGGAAGGAGAAGCAGCTGGGTGCTGCGGGGGGTTCAGTGCCACCCAGCGCGGGTGGGGAAGGGTGCGCGTGCCCATCGTCAGGGCATCGGGGCTGCTGTGCAGGGAGATGCCGGGGGACCGCACGCTCCGGCTGCAGCACGGGAACCGCATCGAGGCCCTGTGCCTGCTGGGCACCCACATCTCCGCCGACGTCTACGGGTGAGTCTGACACCCCAACACTCCCATCGCTCCCTCCGTTTCCACACATCCACCTTTCTCCTCGCCTTTACCCCCCTGTTTCTCCTTCTGCAAATCCCCCCTCCTCAGTTTTCCGTTTTCTCCCCCAAAAACCACAGCCCTCATGCTGTGATTTAATGCAATTTGTGGGCAAAATCCTCTCTGGGCTTTGCAAATCTGCACAAGTCCCAGGAAAGCTTTGAGCACCCATGTGTACATGATATGGTATTTACCCCGGGTCTGCAACGGCGATTCGTTTGGTCCATTTGCGGTCAACAGATCTAGCGTCATCTCGGAAAGCTGCTGGAGAGCAGAGGGATGAGCAGAAGCCATGGGGATGGACTGCAAAGGAGGGGATGCAGCGGGGAGAGGGAAGGAAAACAGCATCTAGTGACCAAGCAGTGTCCTGGGAAAGCATGCGAGTTCCCACAACACCAGCCCTGCACCCCTGAAACCAACCTAACGCTGCACTGCAAGATCATTATTCCTCCAAAGGAAAAGGTTTAAAAGCTCATTTCATGGTTAATTCTGGTCTTTGCTGCTTTTGCAAATCTCACCCTCAATATTCAAGCCAAGCAGCACAGTTACAACTCATCTGGCATCTCTCCGGGTCAAATCTCCTCCCGTTGGGATTCCCAAAACCCAGAAACAAGGAAACCAAACCAGTTTTTCCATGCATAATTAAATATAATATACCAATTTAAGAAACGCCTGGGCAGCAGCAAACAAGCGCTCAGATTTCCTCTCCCCCCGCCCCAGTGCGGGTTTGGCGGGGCTGCCAGCATCCAGAAATCCAATAAATGATGCTGTAACAGTGATACAGTGCAAGCTCTCAGGTGTCGAGAGCATGCACGCTCAAAGGGAGCCTGCACCTTGGGAGCTGCAAGCATCCCAAAAATAACAACCCTGGAAAGATGGGGAAACTGGGGACAAGGAGCCAGGAGAGGGGAAGGGGACGCACAAAGCAGCTGGAGAAGAGCAAGGGCACATCAGACTGGGAGCAGTGCAGCACCAGCTGCTTCGGGGTTGGATAAAATCACCCTGAAAATTAGAGTTTCCCATGGTAAAGTCTCTCAGCTGAGTTGCCACGCCATTACAAGGAGCTGTTAAATACTGGGTTTGCCTCAGCTGGAAAATAAACATGGATTTCTCCATTGAAGTGCAAACCCAAGTTGGGTTCCAGTGGCGCTGACTGCTTTGGCTGTGATTATTATAGATCCTAATCTGCACCAATGGCTACAAAACAGCCTCATTTTGTTAAAATAGCGTGTTCTGCCCTAAAAAAGAAAAAAGACACTTAAAGCATTCCCAGGCAGGGAGGAAAGGGCAGAAAGGTGCCGGCGGTGAGCGCGGAGACGCCAGCGTGCCCAGTCTTGGCTGCGTTTTGGGCAATGAAATTAATTGCAGTGAGAACCAGGTGTTTTTGGTGCAAACCTCTAAAAATGCAGCGTATTTCTGGCAGGGCGGCCCCGGCCGGGGCGGTCTCCTTTGGTGTGAAGCACACAGAGGGGGTGAGCGTGGAGGTGGCATGCCGGGGCCAAGCAGAGGTCGGGCCAGCCCCCAGCAGCGGGACACGGTGGCCACTGGATGAGGGGACAGTCCTGAGGTTTAGCATGAGCCGGGCCAGCACCGAGGTCAACGATAACAAGGTAAGAAGCGGGGTGCTGGGGTGTGGGACCCCCATGGAGGGAGAGCATCCTTCCCCAACAAGGGATTTGGGGGTTTGCAGGTAACCGTCAGCTTTTACGCAGAGGGAGGGCAGCCCATCAACCAAGCTGGGGTCTTCCTCACCGGCATCGGTGAGTACGAAGGCTTCTGCAACGCAGCAATCCCTCTTCACCCCTTTGGTCCCTTCAAGTGGGGCGTTTTGATGTGGGGGCAGAGACAGACCCGGGTTCGCTGGATCTGGGGGGCTTTTGCACCCACCCAACCTTGCTGTAGCCTGGGATGACAGTGGGGTCTGCCCATCCAGGGATCTCTCTGGACGTCGACGCGGATCGGGATGGCGTCGTGGAGAAGAACAACCCCAACAAGGTATATTCGGCCTCTTCCACTGTGAAGAAAGTCCACGGGCTTGCAAGAGCCTGAGCTCGCTAAGCCCCAGCGGGGTGTTTTAGGCAAGCTGGACCTGGGGTCCTGAGGGACACGGGGCCATCCTGCTCGTCAGCTGTGACAAGGAGAGCCCCTTCACTCCGGCATCAGACTGCGACGACGAAAGGGTATTCAGCAAAGAAGGTAACGCAGCTTCACAAAAATCATATAAAGTAAAAAATGCTCCATTATTCCCCCTCTTTAACCTTTTTGGAGAGGAAATTTTGCTTGGGAACCAGCTGCCCATGAGCTGCTCTCCACTAAGCTGCTGAGTAAGCTTCCCACATGGGAATTTTTTTTTTTAATGCCATGCAAACTAATTACGGTCAATCAGGGGCATGAAGCACAGCCAGAAAAATAGCAGAGGTGCCACTGACAGCAGAGCTTGGCCCAGGGATGCTTTGCACGGGTGAAAGGAGCTCTGGGCAAGGCATGCGGCCAGCAGCCAGGAATACACCCGCCTGTTCCTGGAAAACTAAAACCACACGGAGCTAGTGCCCATCAGCTTTTTGAGGCCAGGGACCAGCTGTGCCAGGGCTGTGGCGGGGGGAAAAAAAGGGCATTTGTTTCAAAGCACAAGCCACAAGCTTTGCTAGCAGGACTGCAGGTTGTTTTTCCAGCTTGCCAAGGCTGGTAGCAAGGGAAGAGCAGATTTGTTGACATGGGAGATGCAAACTCCAGGAGGGAGCAGGCAAGCCAGCCAGAGCTGCATGGCACAAGCACCCATCACCCAATTTGTTTTGGTTTGCACCGCAGATTTGCTGGACATGTCTCGGATGGTGTTGAGGACCGAAGGGCCACAGAGCCTTCCCCGGGGGTACGAAATCGTCCTCTATATTCCCTTCTCCGATGCCGACAAAGTTGGGGTCTTTTATGTGCAGAGTAAGTCCTTCCTCACCTCCTCTTCTGCCCCTTCCTCCTCATTTGTGGTGCTTTTGAGATCCATGCAAGCTCTTTTCTTTCTATCTCTGACCTTGTCCTCTCCATGCTCTTCAAATGGCACTTCTGAAGCAAATCATGTCCTCAGCATCCCTTCTCCAAATTTTTCTGGCATTGAATATTCTCTCTTCTCAATCAGTTGGAAAGCTTTGGAGATAAACAAGCAGAGGCACAGGGCCATAAAGCCATTTATCGAAGGTCATCCAGCAAAGGAGTAGCAAAATAAAAAGCCATGTGTCCTGACACCCAGATGCTTTATCTGTGCTCTACAACACATTTTCCCCTCCTCATTCCTTGTTGTGGGCGCAGTGATTTATTCCCTGGGACCAAAAGTCCTCATCCAGCCCAGAAAGGTGCCATTACGTAGCTTGGTCTCATGCCTCCGTGCAGAGGCAGCCTGTTGGCAGGAGGGCTGGTGGCATTGTCATGACCTGCTGGTGGGAGGTCAGAGGAGGCTGCAAGGGCAGAAACCCCATGAAAACGTCTTCTCAATGACTGTTCCATCCAAGGAAAGGCTGGGACATTTTTCCCCACCCTTCTCGTGCATGACCGCAAAACTGCAAGCCCCTTAGCTCCTGTTTTAAGGTAATTCTGTCAGATGAAGTTGTTTCTACCCACAGAGGCGGAGAAGCTCCAGCGCAGAGGGATTGGGGGATTTCCTTGCACACGAGCAAAATGGGTTGGAAACCACCACTGAAGCTTTGGAAATTGCCCACCTTCCCCTTTCTCTTCTTGCAGACCCCTTCTTTGGGCAGCGCTACGTCCACGTGCTTGGCCGGAGGAAGCTGTACCACACTGTGCAGTACACTGGTGGGGCTGCTGAGCTCGACTTCTTCGTCGAAGGGCTCCGCTTTCCTGATGACACCTTCCCCGGGCTGGTCTCCATCCATGTCAGCCTCCTGGAGACCCTGGCTGAGGTCTGGGGGCTCCAGGGAAGGGGTGCAGATGGGAGATGCAACAGCCTGAGGGGCATGCAGAAGGGGATGGGGATTGAAGGGAGAGCGGTCCCCATGAATTTACCCCAAAAATGACCACAAGGGTAGGGTATTTGGGGGGGAATAGTGGTAAACAGGGTGTGGAGAGTCCCCAATTTCTGCTTGCCTCCTCCAGGGTATCCCCCATACACCGATCTTCACCGACACAGTAGTGTTCAGGGTAGCACCATGGATCATGACCCCCAACACTCTGGCACCAGTGAACGTCTTTGTCTGCAGGTAAAGGCCAAGGGATGATGCCTTCCCAGCCAAATCAACATCAAGAAAGGCTGGGGAGGTGATGGGCAGAGGGAAAGGCAGCTGCCTGCAGGGGATATCCATCCTCCAGCAGCCCTTCATCCCCTTCCCTCCTGCCGTCCGCTTTCCCAGCATGAAGGACAACTACCTCTTCGTCAAGGAGATAAAAAACCTGGTGAACAAGGCCGGCTGTGAGCTGAAGGTTTGCTTCGGCTACATCAACCGTGGGGACCGCTGGATGCAGGTAGATGGGCACTGGAGAGGGGGCAAAGCTTTCCCTCCCTGCTGATGTGCCCCACATGGGTTTTCCTCCCTTCTTTAGGATGAGATTGAGTTTGGCTACACCCATGCTCCCCACAAAAGCTTCCCGGTGGTGGTGGACTCCCCTCGAGATGGAGGGCTGGAGCAATTCCCCATCAAGGAGCTGCTGGTAAGAACAGGACAGTCACTTGCTTTGCCTGAGGAGCAGCTTGCAGGTTTTTATGCTTAGCCTATTTCACCACTCCTAAAACTCTGCTTGTGCTTGGCTCCTTGGGGGCTCTACAATGAATTGCCTGAAAAATGAGAGTTTAACACCTCTGCATGCAACTGCACAGAGATACTACCCTGTCCACCTCCAGCTGGGAGGACACCAACAGCCTCACCCCCCCTCAAAGCAAGGATCAGAGCCTAATCCACATCCCAGCCATCTGGAAAACCTTTTATCCAGAAGGTGCTGGATGAGAGGGGCAAGGAGGACCTCATGCCTCTGGGAACAAAGGACTCCTGCAAGCTCTGGGACAGGAGTGGATTTCTTCACCTTGAATATCCAAGCAATGGGCTGGTTTTTCCTTTCCTCCTCTGCACCTGTGAATACGCAGCAGCTCAGGAGAGGAAAGGAAAGTGTGAGAGGGGTCACTTCACTTGCTCAGAAGCGAGCAAGATGCAGCCAGCTTCCAAAAACATCCCTGTGGGGCTCCTTGGCCACGGCAAAGGGCCAGCCGCAGGCAGGGCATGCAAAGCTGCCTGGGCGAGCAGCAACCCTGGCCAGGGCATTTTGGGAGAGCCCAGCAAAGACAAGCATGGGAAGAAGATGGACTGAATGATCCCTTTGAGGTATCGCCACGCAGAAAGGGCAGGACATCCCCAAGCAGCCACCAAATCTCAGCCCAAACACCCAGCCAGCCCCTGGCAGCAGCCTCAGCCCTGGTCTTCTCTCCGACAGTAATGGGAGAAGAGGACTGCTCACTTTTTTGTGCTGCACGTCACTTTGGGGAATGTTAAGCGCTTTCAAAAGCATTGAAATACATCGTTTCTCATGCTTGAAATGAGTACATGCAGTCCCGGACTCATCAGGCAGGATGGGAATAGCACACTGATCCGCCCCTTCGCAAATAAGCCGGGCAACCGCTCCTATCTGCCCTCTTTAGGAATTGCTTTGCTTCATATTTAGAGAAGCAATTTCAGCCTTTGGAGCTGCTAACACATACTCCAATTTCTGCTTTGAAGCCTCCCCTAATCCCCACTCCTATTTTTCCAATCTCATTTTCCACCTCGGAATATTTAGCCAAATGCAACACGCACAGGTCCTCCTCTAGCCCCGGCCAAGCCCTAAGCCCCTGGGACCCCACACCAGGGAAAAAGGAGACGAGAGGGAATTAGCCCCTCAAGATCAATCTGGAACTGATAGGACTTGGATGTGACCCGCAAACCAGCGCCTTGACAGTTGAAACCTACCGGCTCCGTGGTTTATTAAACTGAAATAAGCTGAGAGCAGGTGTTTCACGCTCAGTCCCTCCCGTAGCACCCAGGGAAAGGATCTGACCCCCCCAGCCATCCTCCAGATACGCACCCCAAAAATGCACGAGGAGCCTCAGGGAAAGGCAGCAGCAGCTCCCTGCTTCTCCAAACATCCTCAATTTAAAAAAAAAAAAAGCAACTTCTAGATCATAACTATGCACCCTCAGGTGTCCCTGCTCATTTTTACTGACCTGGGTATTTGGTTTACCCCTAAGGAAACCCAACACTAATAAGTGATTAGGATTTAATGCAAACCCAACAGATAGCTGATCTTGTCCCAGGGGCTGTCGTGAGCTCCAAGCCCATGTTGACTTGAACCAGAGAGCAAGGACAGGTTCAAGGCAGGATTTTTGTCCCACTGCTGCCATTTTTGCCCTGTTTTTAACATTGCAATCTCTCCCTCTGGCATTTGACCCTAGCACATCACAACCACGAGTTAATTACCCCCGCATGCACAACGCCTTAAATCCCAGATATATTAAGTCCTGAAAATCAAGACTTAAATAGGATTTAAGTGAAGCACAGCCCTTCGGGTGGCTCTTATGCCTGGGGCGGATTTACCCTCAGGGGCTGAAGTTCATCTCGCTAGACAAGAGCCATCCAGAAACTCAGCTTCGGGGCTACCCCAGCACTTAATTAGCCTAATGCTGACACTTAAACATTGGCTGCGGGATAGCAGAGGCGATCTCTCCCCGGCTCAATGCTCCAGCTCTGCCCTGGCACTTGCCATCTATTACTGAGCCCAGGTGACCCAGAGACCTTTATCCTCTTGCCTTTCCTGCAGCCTCTCCCCATCCATGGTCCAGGCTCCACTCTTAATATTTTTACCCACTGGAGCAGGTCTGAGCCCAGCAGGAGGGATAAAAGCAAAGGCACGGAGGCAGGGGGGACTCCGGGCAAAGCCCACAGTGATTTTTCTTTCCCCAGGGCCCCGACTTTGGCTACGTGACCAGAGAGCCCCTCTTTGAATCCATTGCCAGTCTTGACTCCTTCGGCAACCTGGAGGTCAGCCCGCCTGTGACCGCAGCAGGGAAGGAGTATCCCCTGGGGAGGATCCTCATCGGCAGCAGCTTCCCCACGTAAGAGATGGGAAACCCACATATTTGGGAGCAAAGGAGCCACGATTGCCCCTAAATATCACCCAAAAAAAAATCACATTAAGGGCCTTAATTAGCCATTCCCTGGCCAGCTGCAAATCTGGTACCCTATGGAGGGGGTGCACCCAGTCTCTGCCTCCACATTTGCACCCTCCTTTCTTTCCTCCACCTTGATAGCGATTTATGTGTATGTACATATTACTGCATAAATATTTATTCCCCTTATTCCCTCTCTCGGGGGTATTTTGCCCCCAGATCTGCAGGGAGGAGAATGACCAGAATGGTGCGGGATTTCCTCTACGCCCAGCAAGTGCAGGCTCCTGTGGAGCTCTACTCCGACTGGCTGTCCGTGGGCCACGTCAACGAGTTCGTCACTTTTGTGCCTACCTCTGACACAAAGGTACCCCAAAACCCCAAGCCGCTCCGTGGTTTCTCTTCTGAGATACTCATCCCATCAGGGCACCTCTAGGGAAAACCTCAAAGCTCATTTCGTTGACAGTCCCAGCCAGCATTTGCTTGGGTTTTCACCCCTGTCCCCAAAATGAGGGCTCTGAATACAAGAAGGGACTTTCTTAGCTAATAATCAAGACAGATAGAAGAGAAAAAAGATGCTTGCAAAGGTAGTCCAAGAAATTTAAACCTCAATATTCACATGGGCTAGGCAGGGCTCAGCATCTCCCAGATGTTTCAGAAGCTAGCTCTTTCCTCTATCCTGGTTGTTACTGCTTCTGACATAAGACTTTTCCCCCCCAGAGAAAGCACACCTTGACCTGGATGGCTCAGAAAAGGAGCATTTATGCACACGCACACCTCCCAACCCCTCCATGCAGTGCTTTCACCCTCCCCAGGGCTGTGCTAAGCCCCCATAAGAGAAGCCATCAAGACTGCAGCAAGCAGCCTCCCACACCCCCCCAACAAA